AGGAACCAGTTCATTTAAGTGCAGGGAAATCTAGGGGAAAGAAGAAATTTCAGGATGCTTTTGGCTGCAAATAAAGGAAACTTAACCCAACTGGTTTAAACAATAGTTTATCTTATTATACAAAGTTATACAATTTTACTATCTTATTATACAAGAAGTCTAGAAGCAGGGCAGTTCCACAGTTGGTTAATTCAGGAGCTCAGTGACATCGAAAATTTAGGTTCTTTCCATCTGTCATTTTGGCATTTTCAACTGGTTAGCAATGTCCTTCCTCATGGTGTCAAGATGGATGCCATACCTCCAAACATCATGGCCTCACCCAGTTGCAATAGCTAACACTCAATTGAGGGTCAGGCAGCATTCTAAGCACTTTGAATCTATTAACTATTTTAATCCACACAACAACCCTGTGAGATCAGAACTCTTCTTATCCCTGTTGTACAGATAGATACATCAAAGCCCAGAGAGATTAAGGTGCTTGCCCAAAGTCACACACTAAGGAAGTGGTGGGGCTGGGATTTGAACTCAGGAAACTGGTCTCTACAGCTACAATAATATCCAAAGTCTGGAAAAGAGGGTGGCATGCATGTCAGTAGCACAGTTGGGATGCAAACTGAGGGTCCTAAGTGTTTCCTTCTCTGTTTCCTTCAGGCTGTATTTCCAATGGTTCTTGGCAGGAATATGATGTGGTAAACCTCTGGAGCCCTAATTTAACCTGGCATCTATTTTGTTTGAATCAGACCTTGAACCAGAGTTCTCTGGAGAGATCTGCTCCCAACAGCAAGGCTTCCTTTGGAGAAGTTTTGACTTGGCATTCGAGGGGTGGCTAAACTAGGACGATTAGGAAGCACAGTGAAGTTTGGTCTGAAGAAATGAATCCTGGCTTGCATGTCTAGCATTGGGCTCAGTTGTCACTGTTCTGTCCAATGCCAAGGATGGAGATGACTCTTCTTTTCAGAAAGCTGCTCTTGGTTCTCAGAAGAGAGGAAAGACTTCCCTGGGAGCTGGCCTGATTTAGGGAGAATTCATCTGCATTTGGGAAATCACTGGTTACCCTGGGTAGCCTGATTACTCATTTCTCACCTGGCTCATTCAACGAGGGGTGGACCAAAATCACCCTTTGCTTCTCCTTGCTTTATCTTGCTGGGGTTTTTTTTGTTTTGTTTTGTTTTGTTTCCTTTTAAGCAGGGCTTGGGAAGAGGGCCTTCAAATCCCAAGCCTGCAGAATCTGAGAGCATCGTGTCATGGAATAAGGACCTGTTTAATGTTTCCAAGCAGCATCAACTTCTTCCCTGCAGCTGTGAAGCTTATGCACTAGAAATAAAATGGTATTTCCCACTATTTGTGAAGTACATGGCAACAGAAACTCTAAAAATTGTCCCTGTAGAAGAGAATTTCCCTATCTTTATCATCACCTTTTCCCCGCACTGAACTGAAGGGTTTTTTTCTTTCTCATTTCTAAAAACTGATTTTTTGGTTAATGTTTCCCAGTTGTGGTCTATTTTAGGCCCTGCCCTGGAGGTATACAAGGATCTAAGGGCTCCTTACTGGAGATCCTGGGGAGTATGGGTGGAGGTGATGGGGAAGAAGGGAGGAGAGATCGAGGCTGAAATGGGGGTAGGAAAGGAAAACCTCCCCCAGCTTGTGTTGCTTAGTCATGTTTTTTCAGTGAGTTACTCTGTGCCAGGAATAGCTGGGAGGCAGCCAGGCCCTGGACCAAGGGAGTCCCCATTGATAACACCAGTGCTGAGCCCCCTGTGTGATGCACTCCCTGGAGTAGGCAGTGACCTGTGGCAAAGGCTGGCGGGCACCACCAAGCAACTTGAGAAGCTGAAGGGATCTTGCTTATTTGTTCTGTGTTTATTGATTGATTGTTAATTTGGTTATTGTCCCTCTCCCCCTGCTCTGCACCAGACACACCAGGAGGGCAGAGAACACAACCTTATCTGTGGTGTTCACTGCTCAGGATCTCAGCCTGGTGCAGAGTAAGCCTCAGTAAACACTCCTTGAGTGAATGACAAAAGGAACTTGCTGTCTCTATTTAATTTATAATTGTCTGCCCTCCCCACCCTGGAATAATGTCAGCTACTTGAGTGTCTTAGGTCGTTGGTCCTGTTTCCTTCTACAGCCTCAGGATCTCACTCAACGCCCAGCGCATAGTAGGTGCTTACGGCAGATACTTCTCTCTTGAAAATAGAACCCCAGGATGTCCAGGCAGCCACGTCCCAGGAGATGCAGCAGAACCGTTCTAAGCTGATGGTGACAACCCTGCTCTTGGTCAGGGGCTATTTAAGGGTGGTCATGTGACCCAGGCTGCCCTGTGAGGTTTAAGGGAAATTCTGCCTGCTGGGGCCTTTGGAGAAATTCTTCTCTCTGATGAGAGGATGCCCCCCCTCCCTTCCCCTTTTCCTTCTCTTTCCAGTCTTGCTTTAGCTTTGTTGTGTCAGCAGGTGATGTTGTCACTGTAGCAGCCATCTTGTGAACCTGAGGCTCCACACCTTGGGAGAAAAGCCACCATGATCTGGATGGCAGAGTCGAAGGTACCTTGGTCCTTCATGATGTCACCAAGTCCCGAAACAGGCAGAGGAACCAACTCCTTTGGACCTTTGTCAAATAAACAATGTCTTTACGTTTTAACCCATCAGTAGCACATTTTTCTCCTCCTTGCAGCTAAATGCAGCCGAATGAATTCAGCGCTCATTCCACGAGCTGAATAAATAAAGGTCTTCATTTACTGAGTGGTTAGTACCTGCTCTAAGCACTTTCCCTGTATTAACTCAGGAACCTCTGCAAGGACCTTATGATGTCAGTATAGTTATTATCCTCAGTTCACAGATCAGGAAAAGGAGGCACAGAGAGCTTAAGTAATTTATTAAAAATTGCATCATCTTTCACTGGTGATGGGTTGGTGGGGAGAAATATTCCAGAGGTATCCAAGGGAGTAACAGCATATAGAAGGGTTGGGAGTGGGCCAAGGGTGGGGTCCATTCACAACTGTGAAATGTTTAGATGGTTCTTTTGACAGTGTGGGCCATCTCTTGGGTGAGATATGGGATGTTTGTGCACACGTGTGTGTGTGTACGTGTGTGAGAAGCAAGTTTCTCTGAAGGTGAAGCAGGTCTTCCATGGTCACAGCTGGGAAGGAGGACTAACATTTATTGAGCACCTACTATGCGCCAGTTATCTGTCAGATACTTTGTATCAGTGGTTCTCAACTGGGGACGATTCTGTCCCTTGAGGGACATTTGGCAATGTCTGGAGAGATTTTTGGTTGTCATGACTAGGGAGGGAGTGCTACTGGCATCTAGAGAGCACAGTATACTGTTAAATGTCCTTCAAAGCACGGGATGCCTCTCCACAACTAAGAATTACCCAAAATATCAACAATCTTGGGGCTGAGAAACCCTGCTTTACAGGCAGCTTTTCTCTTACAAAGGCTCCCATTTTACAGATTAGGCCACTGAGGCTCAGAGAGGTGAAGTGTTTTGGCCAAGGTCACTCAACCAATTAGAGTTGGAGCTGAGGTACAAAAGCAAGCCTGTTTCGTTCCGAAGCCATGATGCTTCCACTATGCATTCCCCTTGTGGGAGATAGGATTAATTTAGAGATGAGGCAACTGAAGCTCAGAGACGTGTAAGGTCACACAGCAGAGCAGCTCCAGCGACATCTACAATTTCCTGAGAACCTTGGCAGTCAGCCACATTTTGGACATAACTGACTCCATTACCCAAACCTAGCAGGCTCATCTGCCTCCCTCCCTTTACTTCCTGCCCAGGGGAACTCCGCTCACCCAAGGCCCAGGTCAAATGCCACCCTGTCCATGATCCCAAAGGAACAGAGCTTGCGGGGCAGAAGCTACCCCACTCTCATCCAGCGTCTTTAGGCACTTCCAGTATTTACCCAGAGGCCACTGGGAGAACAATCCTGGGTGTTAGGAGCAGAAAATAAATGAGCAATAATGTTCCTTCCTGAAGAATAATTATAGTCTACAGGGGGATATTATGTGAAACAGCTAATCCACTGCATTGGCGGAGATAATACAATCTCTGGCCAATGAATAGGGATTGTGTGGACAGTTTGGAGAATGGAGTCTAGCCAAGAGGGCTGTTCATATATGCAATAATAATTAAGAATAAATATTTATAGAGACCTTTCTAAGTGAGTTAGGTACCATTTTTATTCCCATTATACTGAAGAGAACATTAAGGCTCTTGAGACAAGGAAACCAACCAAAGGTCACCCAGCTAGCAAGTCGTGGAGATGGGATTTGAGTTTGAGCATCATACCTTCCAGTGAGGCAGGCGGAGTCATTGTTGTGCAGAGCAGCCTGGACTAGAAGCCCGATTCCCAAGACCTTACCTGTGGAGGTGGGTGGATGGGAGCGGGGCTCAGGCAGAGCAGTAACTGAAAGCTGATCACTTTTTCTGGGAAAGGTGGAAAGGGTAGGCTCAGCTCACGGGGCAAAGAAATTCACAAAGAAAGAGAAAAAGGAAGAAAGGATGGAAGGAAAAATAGGGGTAGGAAAAGAGAAAAGGATTAAGAACGAGAACAGCACGTCTTCTCAAGGTCGTGGAGCGCCCGAGGGCACCCCAAGGGTTGGGTGTCCCAGAGGCAACAGCCCGGGCGGGGGCAGCCCCTCTTTCTTCCTTGGGCTGGCAGGGGAGCGCGTGCCAGGGAGGGCTTGCTACGGAGCGGCTCGGATGCGAGCTTTTCCAACTGGGTGTTTACTTAGCCCTGCAGCGGCCAAGGCGGCCGGACCTGCGTGCGTGTGCCTGTGAACGCAGGGTGTCGCGTGTGCCGGGAGGGAGTGGCGTAGCCCGCGGCGGGGGTGGGGGCGCCACGCGTTCGGGTGCAGAGTTGGTGCGCTCCATTGCGAGCTCCGCCGGGCCCCTTCCGGAGACTTCCTCCCCCCGGAGAGCGGCTGGCGGCCCCGCTTCAGTCGCGCCGAGTTTCGGACGCGGCGCGTCTCTGCGGCTCAGCGCGGCGTGGCACTTGGCAGACGCTCCCTGAGAGGGAGGGCGGCTGGGGCCCGCCGTCTGGGAGCCCCGAAGGCCGCCTCTTCCCGCCCCTGGTCCAGCCTCCGCTCGCTGCCTCCGCCCCCGGCCCGGGCCGCCCCCGCCTAGTCCCGCCTGTCCGTTCTCCAGCCCGCCGCGCTGAGCGCCGGGCCAGCGGCTGAGCCGGCGCACCTCGTCCGAGATGGGGTGCTTGGACGCTTGAGTCGCCGTTCGGCGCGACCTCCGCGCGGGGAAGGACCCGGCGCCCTGCGGCCGCGCTAGAATGGAGGTGCCCGGCGGCAACGAGTCCTGCGGCGATGGGACTGGGGACGGTGCCCACCCGGACCCCAGGGCCCCCGGCGCCGCTGCGCCCAGCTCCGGTCCATGCGCGGCAGCCCGGGAGTCGGAGCGCCAGCTGCGCCTCCGCCTCTGCGTCCTCAACGAGATCTTGGGTACCGAGAGGGACTACGTGGGCACCTTGCGCTTCTTGCAGTCGGTAAGTGTTTCCCGGGGAGCGCGGGGACAACGCAGCGCCGGGGCCTCCGCGCGGGGCGGTCCCCACAACCTGTGGCCGCAGATTCCGGGGGTCGCGAGAGTCGCCTCTGGGGCGCCGCGCGGGCCGCGTAGAGAAGGGAGGAGACCTGGGCTCTTCTAGAGCTGGACTGTCTCCTTCTTGGCTGGCCGGTAGTCCAGCCCGACCCGGTGTCTCCGGCACTTCGGTACCCCCCGGCACGCTGCCCTTTTGTCTTTTTCTTCTCCTCTCCCCGCCTTTCAAATAGTTTTAAAATTAGTTACATCCGTGAGGCAGGGACTCTGGGAACCAGGCGCCGGGAGCTTTAGCTCCTTCGTTCCCCCCCGCCCTCCGGGGCTTTCTTCGCCTTCGGGTGCACCACTGACTTTTCATCCGGGACCGACTCTGGAAATGCGAGAGCCCCGGTCCCTCCGTGCCGAGTAGAGTAGGACAAAACCCAAAGCCCAGAGGACGGACGGAGATCGACAAAACCCCAGAGTAGGACTCCGGGTCCCCACGCACACGCTTTTGCTGGCGCTTGGGGAGAGTGGGGTTAGAACTCACGGTTTGGCCGTCCCACCTGGCCTCCCTCACCCCCATCACCAATTTGCAAATCTACAGCGACAGAGTGTAAAATACTCACTGAGGGCTTCCTATGTGGCAGGCGCCTATATGTGTCCTTAGAAAGGTTTAACCTTTACAAGTGGCCCATGAAGTAGAGAGGAACATTCTCCCCGCGCCCCCCCCCCCCCGCCGCCGCCGCCCCCGCCCCCGCACCCTCCTTGTAGATGGGAGACTTTAGCTCCAGAGAGGTTGAGTAACTTGACCAGAAATCACACAGCGGGTTAGTTGGTGATAGTGGGTTTTGAGGCAGGGCAGGCCCAGTCGGTACTTTGAACCCCTATCCTATGTTGCATTTCTTCCTCCTTCTTTTTTTCTGTGAGAGGGAGGAAGGGGCCGCTTCCCTACTCTCCAAGGAAGTGAGAAAAGTGGCTTTTGGGGGGGAGGCAGGCGGGCGGTGGGACTGGGCCAAGCCTCTCTGCGAGTTAGGAGACTCCAGGGCTTTAATCTCTGTGCCTCCTGCTGGGACCTCATTTACTCCCTTCTCTGCTCTAGGAAGTCTTTTAATCCTGGTTCAGGAAGGGCTGGTGGGGGCGGTGGTGTTTCCTTTAGAGACCTCTGAGCTAGGCTCTGCAGCTTCCAGTCTCGGGGGCAAGAGGGAGACTCTGGTGTCCTGCAGGGTCCCCAGTAGCTTGGGGGTGTAGCTGAGGCTGTGTGAGGTCCGAGTTCCAACTCAGGGAGGAGAGAGCCCTTCTCTCTGTGAAAAGAGGGGCGGGGTGGGGGGGTGTGGAGTGAGTGAGTGTGTGTGTGTGTGTGTGTGTGTGTGTGTGTTGTACAGAGGCATTGAAAACCATTTGGCTAAAGGACCCTTCTAGAAAGGCCTGGGAGAATAAGGCATGGCTAGCATCTACCCTCCGCCCCCCATCTCTCCCTCTCTCACAGCTGAATAAAAGAATCTGCTCAGTTTGAAGCTGGCAGTTTCTGAATTAAAGATGTAGACAGCCCTGGCATCGCTGAGCAATGTCAAATTCTAGGGAACTCCTCACTTCTCCTTCTGAGCCGCTCCCTGCTCCTCAGTCTAGAAGGAAGAGAAGAAAGCAATTTTTTTTCTATTAATGGGAAAGAAAGCCCTTGCCCTAGATGGTGTGGTGTATTTCAGAGCAGATAGAGATTGCCTGTGGGTTAACGGTGGTTTTACATTGTCCACGTGTAGAGTCTGAGGACGCTGGAATAATGGAAATTGATTGGAATCAACCATTCTTATTATTAAAGAAACAGGGGGAAAAGAAAAGGTTTCTCTACTTTCACATTATCGCCTTGACACTTTTAATTTGCTGAGTTCATCACTGTCCGTTCTGAGATGAGCTGTTCCAACTTTGACATCTTGGACCAGTCGTGTCACCTGTCCTGACCTCAGTTTCCCCACCTGAAAAAGAGGGGACGTGATCCAGGCTTCCTTTCTGCCTTGTCCTTTCGGGTGACCCTAAGGTGGTGCCAGAAATGGACTGATTGTGTAACCTGACCAGCCATACCTTGTTTATGAGCCGTAGGAGGCCTCTCTCGTCCTGCTCCTTCAGAAACGGCCCCCAAACAATCCAAGGCCTTTTCATTTTGAAAACCCAGGGCCCGGAGCTTCAGGAACTGCTAATTAGTGAGGCTTTCCACGCAGCAGCGAGGCTGGCAGCCTGCAGGTTGTGATTCTGTCTCTCTTCCCACTCTCTCCTCCCAGCTTTTATACTTGCTAAGGGATTTTTCCCCCAGCCTCCTGGCTCCGGAGGGTGGAAGAATGCTCAGTAATCCCTCCCTGCTTTTAATTCCATGTGGCAGAGACAGGCCTCGAAGGGCTTTCCTGGCCTCCCTGTGTCCTTGGTTTTAAGGTTCCGTTGCCAGTAGAAATGAAGGTTTTGTGTCAACTGAACATTGCGGGAGGTGCAGAAAAGCCAGGTCCAGGTGCCTGCCCTCACGGAGAAGACAGTCTCGTGGAGGTGGGCAAAACGAGGGTTTACGAAAATCCAAGTACAAAGCTGGGCTCTGCAGTTAGACCGCTTGGGGTCAGGTCCGAGGGCTCTGTGGCCTAAGGCAAGTGGCTAGATCTTTCTCAGCCTCACTTTCCTCGTCTGTCAAATGGGGGATGATAATAGATCTTGTAGAGGGTTTTTAAGAGGATGAGTTATGTAAATACGTAAAAAGCACTTCGAATAGTGCCTGGCAGACAGTAAGGCATATGAGAATTCCTTATTATCGTTACTGTACTAATTCAACAAATAATGCAGGGGATTAGGGTTGTAGGATCCCAGCACCCAGAGAACAAGGTGTGCCGGGAGGGCTGCCTGAAGAAAGCAAGGCCTGCGTCAGCACCGCAAGGAGGACGGGGGCCCTGGATGAATCTCATGTTGACCATGGCAACCGGCCACCGGAACTGGTGGTTTTGTTGGGTTCTGGGCCTGGGACTCCCTGTTTTCTCCAGAATCTCTCCATCTTTTCCCATGTCCTTCAGGAGCTGGATTGCACCCCCTCCCCCATCTCCAAGGGGGACTAACAACTTTGGTGCCGTGTCTTGCGTGTGTTTATTTGAGTCAGGGAAAGGCAAGGACAGGCCTCTTGTAAAGTTGCTGGATCTCTCTCCGGGGACGCCACAGAGGCTGTGAAAGAAATTGCCCTGGCGTCTGACTCTGAACATTGGACCTGCACAGTTAGAAGCCCCAGCTGTGCGGAGTGGCCCCTTTGTGCTCTCGGGCAGTATCGATAATGACAATGACAATGACAGTCACTGCAGGGTAGGAGCTGACCCTGGTTCCTCCTGGACTGTGCTGAGCCCTTTGCACCTATCAACGCATGTGCTCTTCGCAGCATCCCTGGGAAGGGAGTGCTGTTGTGACCCCCACCGACGGAGGAGGAAACTGAGGCAAATACAGTTTAAGTGAGCTTTGCTGGGTCATGTCGTCAGCATTTTAGCCAGCCTTTGATCCTAGGCTGCCAACCCCAGGACTCATGTCCCCAGCCACGTTGCTGCCCCTGGCTTATTGAAGGCTTGGCACGTGACTTATTAAGGCAGCCAAACTGGCATTCAAGCCCAGGTCACTGTGACCCTGACCCCTGCCTGTGCTTCCCCCAGTCACTTCCCCTCCGTGATTCCTTTTCTCTCTTCTGCAGAACGGCCAGGACCGTAGGAGAATGGAGATGGCAGGATTGCGGGTTCTTCCTCTGTGCTCCGTGTCTGTGCGTGGTGTGAGGGTTGAGTGCGGGGCCCTGAGCCAGGCTGCTGGCGTTCAGATCCTGGCTTTACCTCGCGCCAACTGGGCAGATCACTGACCTGCGCTGTGCCTCAGTTCCCCCATCTGTGCAATGGGTATAGCACCTCCATCATAGGGGCATTGTAAAGCTTGACTGATCCTGGGGTTTAAGCCCTTGAACCGCTCCAGACACACAGTAGGGGCTGAGAATGCTCTATGGTGGCTCTTTGGGGATGTGCAGCAACGCGGCGGGGTGGGGGTTGCAGATGAGGTCGTCGATTTGGGGCTCAAAGTCTTGCCCCTTAAAGAGTGAGCCTGGCGCCCACCTGCTTCTTGGTTGGGTTGCTTTGGGGTCAGGGGCAGGCGCCAACAGGTCCTGTGATGTGTGTGCCAGCCCGGCAGGCGGTGTTGGGGAGAGAGGGAGCCTGGGTAGACGGGCAGAGAGACTCTCCTGGGTGGGAGTTGGTCAGCAGCCCCCTAAAGGGCTCTCCGGGGCTGTGGACAGAAACCTGTCACTCCCAGGCACCCAGAGGGCCTGCCCCACTGGCTGGGCTGGGCGGGGGTCCCTGAGGATCAAGGGTGTGAGCAGAGAGCTCTCAGAATGCCTTCTGTGGTTCTGCTTTTTTGGGGGTTGGAGACTGAAGCTATTCCTCTCATTGGAGCTCTGCTTGCCAAAACAAGAAACTGTGGTTTTGTGTTGTCACTGTTTTTTTTTAAAAAGCGTTCCGTGCTCCTAGTCTTGACACTAGGCAGCTGGGGCGGGGGGGCACGTTTTTCATTCTGCAGCCACTGAAACGTCATGACGTTCCCTCTGCCTTGGGGGGTTCTCATGAGGTTGTGTTGTGAAAAGTAGGATACTAAGAAGTGTGTGTGTGTGTGTGTGTGTGTTTTGGGAAAATACTTTGGGAAAATAAACAATAACTGTAATCTACACGTGGATGTTGTATTATAACATCACAGGAGTTTGGGGAAAAGGCCGGGCAGGTGTGTACCTCGTGGAGAAAGGCAAGCAGGAAGATAGAAAAGGGAAAAAAAAAAAAATCCCAAGAAATCTTGGTCGTTGTGTCCTTTTCATAGAAAATGATGTCTGTGCATGTGAATCTATTTTTTACAAAACTCCAATAGAAAGAGCTGTATTTGCAGCATGACTATTAGATCAACGCAGTAGCGATAGCAGTAACAATTTGCAAA